TAGAATACTCTCCCCAGTTCTCACATTCAAATGTGGGCCTTGATTGCAAGGGGTGGGTCACTGGTGGGTGTGACCTGGAAGTCTCCATTCTCATTCTTGGCTCCTGCTTTCTCTCTTGCTTTGTGCCTTCCATGGCATGAGCAGCTTTTCTCCACTGGCTCGTTCTTCAGCCTGTTTCGGTTTTAGGTCAGCTGACCATGGAGTGATCCCCCTAAAACTATGAACCAAAATAAATCTTTCCTCCTTTAAGTGGTATGTGTTGAGTACTTTGTATTAGCAACAGGAAAGCTGACTAATACAGCCATGGATGAGGACTCAGGATGCCTCATCCCACACTGCTGGATGGACAAAGGAACTGTAAGCAGGACAGGGGAAGTGAGGGAAAGCACAGGTCAGTGTGGTAATGCAAGTGGGGTTAAGGGGACCTGTGGTGTGGACATATCACGCAGGAATTGTTCTGCATGGCACAGACATGGAAATGCTGAGCATGCGGTTTGCATTTTTCATCCTCCAGGGATGAAGGAGGGTTGAAATTCAAGGTAAAGGAGTTGCAAACATCACTAATTCAAATTGATATCCTTGAAGCCATGACAAATGCATTTAGTCACCTAAATCAGAGGAGTAGAGACCCAAGAGGAAATCCTGGGCCACCACAGTTCAGAGTCAAGGAGGCAGGAAGGAAGGAGGGAGACATGAAGTGGAGTGACTGAAAGAAGGCATTGTGCGAGGAAGCAAGTAAAGATTCAGGGAATCAGGTAGCAGGATGCTGCTGAAACAGAGGATGAAGGCCAAGAACTGAACCTCAGGCTCAGCAATGCGGAGATCATAGTGACCCTGATACTGTGAAGGGTGGAGGCTTAAGCCTCACTTGAGCGAATTCTAGAGAAAACAGGTGAAGACACAGGTTTCTACCCCTGTGGTTAACAGAGCCCTGGAGCACAACTGTGCACACAGCTCTGAGTGTTGACCTGTGACCCTGTCTTGGGTGAGGGATTCATCCTGTTCCACCCTGGATCTCCTGTTCCACCCTGGATCTCCTCCTCTATGATGCGGGTAGAGAGGATGACAAAGCTCAACGTTCTGCCCACCAGATCAGCTCATCAGTGCCAAGAGCTCTGGGCTCACGGTCTGTCCAAGGTGCTGAGTATTCCAAACGTGGGTTCCATTTCCCCATAGGTCCACTAAATTGACCCAAATACTTTTAGATATTCGGCTAATGTTTGCATCTTTCTGCACATCTGTGTCATGTTTTACTATAATCTAACAAGGAATACAACCAGTGTTTCTTATCTACTATTTTTTTGGATATTATACTTGGTGAGTTTCCTCAAAGTTTTCTAAAAAAATCCAAGCATATTTCTTGTTGCAAAAGCTAACAGTTTTTAAATCCTACCCCTCATTCTTCGCATCCTTATTTTTTGTGTGTCTTCTGGACTTTTCAAAGGCTGAGACAGCTGTATTTCTAATTGCCATACTTATCATCTATGAATTCTTAACTTTATTTCATCAATTTTGTTTCATATAGTTTGGTGCAGTTCTAATGAGTACATGAGATTGCATCAATGTTATGTACCCACTGTGATGTTTTTCCTCTTTTCTTACAGTTTTTTGCCTTGAATTTTACTGCATTGATGACAATATTGCCATCCATGCTGTCTTTCTACATATTTGATATATGTTAGTGTTCATATATTGTCTATGCCAGAATATCTTAGACTGTGGTAACCTACAGATAGGGAGATGTTTTAATGAAGTTTGGAAATTTGTGCCTCTTTGAGCTGGGGCTCACCCCAGGAATACGTACTGCCTGCTGTTCTTGTCTGTTCTCCCTGAGATGGGAGTCAGCTTGAGAAGAACTTCACTTCCCTTCCTCCTGTTTTCTCTCTTGACTCATTAGGTTTATATTCAGCCTTCAGTGTTCAATTATAATTCTTAATTACACCAGGAGAGAAGATGTATCTGCTGATCCCTCTGTCTCTGGCAGTGTACAGATCTGCCATGTTTCTCTTCATATTCAGCCCTACAACACACATTTGTGCTTTTTAACGAAAGCCTGGACCTTCTAATTTCCATATGATTAATTTTGGATTCTTTGTCCTGCATCAAATATTGGGTGTATTATATACTAGGTTTGTGTGCCTGAAGCAATGTTTGAGGTTAATTTACCTTTCTGCAGCTCTAGTGATCAGAATAGAACAGTCCTCAACTGTCTCGTCCCCTCACACTGTCACTACTACACCCTTCAGTGCTAGGTTACTGGATTTTTAAACTCACTGTTATGGTTTGTGTCTGGATGTCCCCCCAAAGCCTCATGCAGTCACAGGGGTTATCTTAGCTACTTTTCTCTCATTGCTGAGACTAAATACTTGATGCCAAAAATTAAGAAAAGAAAGGTTTACTTAGCTCACAGTTTGCACCAGTTTCAATCCATAATAAATTGGCTGCCTCTATCTGATGGCTCTGAGTCAGGAAATCAGGGTCAGGAAGCCAAGCTCAAGCCAGGAGGAGACATAAATCTGTGCCAGCCCTAGGCCAGAAACCAGAATTCACTTCAGCAGAACTAAAGGTGCAGGCTCACCAGCATTATCAATCATTCTGCTGTAAGTCTATAGCTGGCTTGCTGGGATTGATCAACTCAGATCTTGACTCTGCCTTCCAGTATTGTCTGGCAGAGATGGCAGAAATACATAAACCCAAATAAATTGAAGACGTATACTCTTGCAACAGACTCAAAACCCAAATGAGAACTATACGTGGAAGATACTTCTGAGAAGTAGTCATTTCCTAAGGGTCCTAAATATAGCAATAAAGCTACTTGGCATAGGCAATTTACAAGCATCAACCCAGGAATTCAACTAAAAAAATAGAAAATGAAAAAACATGTAAACAAGATGCAGCCCAGACTTTCAGCTCACCAAAGCGAAACTCAGGTGGTAATGAGGTAGAACAATCTGAAAGCCACCCACCTTGACTTTAGGCCAAGTGATAATAGAAGAAGTAACAAAGCAGATGGGTGAGGCTCTAGAAAAAATTAAGTCAGAAATAATTTCTCTTATAACTACAGAGATGGTGACCATAATGAGAGACATACTCAGTGACTCTAGAGCAGATAAAAATGTAAAAAAATAGAAGTTCTTAGGAAAATGATAGAAACCATGAATGCCCAACATTGGAAAGAAATGGAATCCATGAAACAGATTCAAACAGATATTCAGGAGATTAAAAATTCCATTGAAAATATATGCAGCAGAATGAACCAGTTTGATGACAGAATATCACATACAGAAGACAGTATTGTGGGAGTGAGACTTTTTCACAGCTCTCTATCCAGACATTCCTTGCCACTTATCCCAGGATGAGTTATGACTGTTTCTATGGCTGTAAGCTTTGAAATGTAAACACCTTAGAATTTCCCTCCCTGGGAACCTGGGATATGAGAGACAAGACACAGAAGAGAGCTTACCATTTTGAGGACAAACAGCCCTGCAGACATGCACTACCAATTTATAAAAGAGCAGCATTGTTGCTACAGTTGTGACAAGAAAACCATCTGTCAGGTACACAAGGTTAGCCTGGGGAAATCGATTCTGACTGAGAGCACAGGTGGAAACTTGGCTCTCTATGGTGAGATCCTACTCTGTCTGCTCTGGAAGGACTTCTTAACTATGAGAAACACAGCGTCCACTGAGAACAAAGCATAGAGAAAGAATCTCCCTGGACACACTGTAGAGAAAAAGCAGGAGTTTGTGAGCACTGCTAGAGCTCTCCTGACCTCCAGGGACAAGAGCGGAAACCGTGCTGAGAACTTGGGCACTGGACACCTCCAGGGATGTGATACTGGTCAGCCTTCCTGTTGCTGAGACACAATACTACACACTGACAACCTATCAGGAGTAGTTTAATTTGGCTCATGGTTTCAGCGCATTCTGTCTAGGTCTAATCATCTGGCTCAGGGCAGAAATGTCCTGGCAGAGGGCACGGGGGAGCAGAGCTGCTTGACTCATGACAGCCAGGAAGCAGGCAGACAGGAAGAAGGGAGGGGCCATGGACAAGGCAGGTCATGCCCCAGGGAAATTCCAACCAGGCCCCATCTCCTAGTGGTGGATTAATTCACTAATGAGTGTAGTTACCCATGATCCAGACACCTTCCAAAATCCCTGCCTCTGAACACTGGAGACCATGGAGGACATTTCAGATACAAACCATACCAACATCCTCCTTCTGCTCTGTGATGGACCTTGGCTAACAACCTGTTATGTCCCAGGGAACAGGCTGGTCCCCACAGCCCAGCGACACACTCAGCAAGAAGAGTCCTTCCCCAGAGGAAAGGGTCTAGGGTAAACTTCCAGGAGCAGATGGTGCCTCGTTTCCCACTGCTATGCAACAGGGACACTATCTGGCCCAGGGTTCTCAGCCCTAAATGGTAGGAAAGAGACTCCTGTGCTCAAGACTGGGGCCAAGACGTGTAGTGAGAACCTGTGTGGCCTCAGACTAAACACCTAATCTCGGCTCCCCTCTTGCATCACACAGGTCAGAACAGGCCCCCATTTTTGTCCTCATTCCTGAAGCACTCTACTAAGGCAAGTGACACTTTCTTGCATGGGACACAGTCTGGAAGAGCAAACCAGGCAAGCAAAGGAAGAGAACCAAAAGAGCAGGACTCAGAAGTGGACAAGATCTGCTCTCTCTGAGCCACTGACTGAAGGACCTTGGAGCACAAAGAGCCCTCTGTTTCCCGGGCCTGCGATGTATCAAAGGTCAGGGCTGAATAACACTGGGCACAGCCCAGCTGAAGAAGTTACACACCATTTAACCTGTTTCCTGTGGCCTCAAAGGTCAGCTGCCTGAGACTGCATCCACGTGAGTGAGCCACTTAGTGAGGGCAGAGGCCTGAACAGGGTGTCAGTCCCATGTCTTTGGAGGAAGGGAGCGATGGGCAGCTTCTGAAGCTGGGGCTCTGTGGGAAACACCCTGTGTTCTCAGATTGTTCAGGTGCAGCCTGGAGCTCAGGGACAAGACCTCTGCTCAATCTGATGGAGGGGGTTCCAGTTGAAGGTAAGTGAGTAATAAAGTAGCAGTGAAGGATGAATAAACTGCTTACTGTGTGTGGCATCATGCACTGGACAGAACCTTAAAGCACAAGAGAACACAAAGAGCAGATGCCAGGGACATCTCAGGACTTGGGGTCTTTTTTTATTTCTTTATGTCTTGATCTCATTCTCAACAATATGTGCTGTACACACACACACACACACACATACATACACATGCATATCAGTGGATATTTTATATCAGTGGATATTTTATATACAGAAACCTCCATGCTCCCTACCTGGATACTGAAACCATAAAAAACTAAGATATACTCTGCATTTTAGTTTCTCCATTGTGAAATAATCATACTAATCTAGAATACTTCATGGTACTAAGGACTAATCCTCATTTCTATTTTATTTTTTTATTTTGAGACAAGTTCACACTAAATTGCTACATTGCCTAGGACAGGCTCAGTCTCTGAGTTATCTTGCCTCAGCCTGCTAGAGTGCTGGCATTACAGGCATGAGCTACTATGACTGGATTAGAAAATCTTTTATGTTTAAAATATTTCATTCATTTACTTAACACCCAGAGAAAGGATACATCCTCTGTGCCAGCCTTCCTGTAGGAACTAAGGAGTAATTCCTAGTTCTAAGGAACTAAACACTGAAGAGAGTAGAGAGTCTTTGCTTCTGAAGTCCTTAGAATCTAGTATCAAGACTATTAAAATATAAACAGTCAACCCATTGGAAAGACCTAATCTTTAATATAAATGCACCAAACAACAGTGCCATGGAACAAGAAAATAGGTTTTAGAAATGAGATGAAAATGCACAACCCATAGTTACAAATAAAGATTAAATGACTGCCAGTTAGTGACTGGCAGGTATAGTGGACAGAATGTAGTAAGGCTACAGAAGACCCAGCCCACATGATCCACTGACTGGATCTGAGCAGCCTGCACAGAACCTTCCCTGAAGCATGCAGAGCTCACATGATGTTTTCAAGAGTAATGGCATATCCATCCAGATAGAATATGAGTGGCCAAGAAACCAGCCTCTGCAAGGGTGCATTCTCTAAACTCATATAGGCTGTACGTTGTCTGGTGAGAATAGAATGAAACTAGAAAACAAAGGAAGTAGGAAAATCTCCAAACCTTCTGATATTCCATGAGTCAAAGAGGAAACACTACAGGAAATTCAAAGTACACAAAATAGAACAAAATTAAAATACTGCCAAGCCAAGCATGGTGGCTTATGCCTGTAATCCTAGCACTCGGTAGGCTGAAGCAGGAAGTTTGTTGTGAGTTTGAGGTCAGTCTGGGCTGGGTAGAAAGTTGAAGGCCAGCCTGAACTACACAGTGAGGACCTGCCTCAGTCTCCCCATAAATAAATAATAAAATTCTGCCTATCACAATGAAGGACTGAGAGTAAATTTTATACTTTCAAATGTTTATAGTTGACAATAATTAAGAACTTGACTCAGAGATATAAATTCCCATTTGAAGAAATTAGAAAAATAAGAGCAAAAGTAATACAAACCAAGAAGAAAAGTATTAATAAAGAAAAACATTAAATCAAAATAGGAAGACAAAGTCTAGCCAGCGTGTAAGAACAGCCAGTAGGTAGCTTGAGCTGCTCCTATCTTTTCCTGCATCCCAATTGTTAGAAATCATTGATGCAGAAGGAGGTACGTGGGCTGGTACACAAGGCCTTCCCAGGGCTTCCTCCATCCCAATTACAGAGCGGGCAATGACATCTATGATCATCACACACCCAAGGCATGTGGTTTGTGCCTGGACATACTGTCTGACCTTGCCATCCTGGTGGTGACTAGATTGCACTGATGACAGTGTCCGCCATATTGACAGAGGGTGGAGAGAACTGCCACTGTTTCTTCCAGTAGGGAGAGGAGTTTCCCTCTCACTGCCTCCTGTGTTGCCCTCATCCACCAGCCATCAACACAGTGCACCCCAGCAAGGCTCACTACTTTCATGTGTTCTCACAGCAAATGAAAGTCACTTGGTGTTTTTAAAGAAGAGTCCGAGTACAGTTCATGCTAACAGTGCAGTTGCCCAGCTGTGCCCATGAAGAATTACTATAGCTTCACAATGGCTCTGTAGGGAAAGTTGGGACCCTCAGGTAGGAGGAGCCTGACCTAATCTGAAGAGTAGAAAGGAAATAGCCTCTGCATTGCAGCAAACAGCTGAGCTGACAGCTTGTGGTTTGACTCCTTCTGTGTAGCTGCTACTGACCCTCTTAATCTGCCCTTAAGTAGTTTATTCTCCCCTCAACATTCCCTTCTTAGCCCACCAAACCTGGCCCCTGGCAACAAGTTCAATAACCAATCAAGTAGTGACCCTTAGAGAGGATGGAGGCTAGGCCCCTATCCCACAAAACAGGATCAAAGCCCCAGCTCTGGACCCCCTTCTCCTCGGAGTGGCTTTATACCAGTTCCTCTTTCAATACCTGCAGTAAAAGTGCTCTGCACTGGTCTTCCATCTCCTCTTCCTCTTTCTGCATCAGAGAGAAAGACAAGCCTGGCTAGCATGAGTGTGGGGATCCCTAGACTCCAGACCCACCAGATGCAACAGTTCTACTACATCAAGGGTGCTGCCAGTGTGTGAGACTGGGGGGGGGTCACAGGTAGCTCACTGCACACTTGTGATCTCTTTTAGTTTAGCTGTGTGGGAATTTTGTTTCATTTTGGCGTTAGAGTTTTTTCCCCTACGATCGTGCACACAGTTTGGCATTGTCCTCGGTCCATAAACTTGCTCTCACCAGTCACCATCTCAAGTCTGGACTCTTCAATGACAGTTGTGTTAGGTCAGCCTCAAACTGGCTCAGGAAGAACCTGTGATTCCGGCAGAGTCCTTTGTGACTGTTGTCATAAGGCAGTCATCAGTAAAACCTTCCTTCACAGCCTCCAGCTGTACGTCTTGGATGTGGGACACAGTGATTCCGTTTGGACAGCTCTCCAGCTTTCTTTTACTTCATCCTGTCTTCTCAAAGTTCCTCGGAAGAACTCGCTGCTCAGCCCTATTGTAGCTGTGTTTCCATAGTCCTAGCTCTGGAGTCCTCACCTGGTGCTGGTCTTCTTTGTTGTCACAGAGAAGGGAAGGGACTGACTGTTGAGAGTATCATGGCCCTTGTGGGCTCATGTCAACAAAGAGACTGAGCAGTAGCTCTCAGTCTAAACTTACCTGGATCTGTTTTATAGGTGATGGGTAAATCTCAAAGCATCAGGCCAGATCATTTTATTAGGAGTTATAGTTCTAAGCAATTGCAAGAGACAACAGTTACAAAGGTTCAAAACAATATGAAACAAAACCAACAAAAGCAAAACAAGTTCCATTTGCTCAGTCAATTTTGAACCAAGAAACATAATTTTTTACTCATGCTAATTTTTACCAAGGATAATCAAATGAAGGACCAACTTGCCTGCAGTATTTTTTGGAGGCTTTTCCATGAATCTGATTATGAATGCTTCAGAGAGTAATCAAATGTGGCTGAAAAACTACAAAAAGCAATCATGGTATGAAGTTTGAAGAGCGTTTTGCAACTCACCAGACCAGTCAGTTATTTTTTTTATAGGTAGCATTTTGAAATAACAAATATGACTGATTGCATTATGTCAGGACCGGGGGCTCTCCCTGGCTTACAGATGTGTTCTCTAGGTGGTTAATGTCCAGTCTTTTCCATTATCAGGGGGACAAAAGTCAAACAATGGATTCAGTCCTTTTACAAGTTTAGGAAAGAGCACTAACCACATATGGACTCATTACCCTGTGTGCAACAACACCTCATTACACAACAATAAAACAATTATTAGTGAAAGCAAACAAACGAAGTCCAGGATTTAGATGACAGGGCTCTCCAAATGTTAGCATTTTCCCTTCTGAATGCTACTGCGTACAAACAGCAGAAATGTCAAAAGCTTTGTTGACCAGACTTTTAAAGGGTTATGTAACAGACTTTAAAATAAAAGACACTTAAATAAATCTCAATTCTTTTATGACTTGTGTATCAATCAGGTTTTACTATAAAAACAGATATAACACAAGATACACAAATGCACCAGAAATTACAAGTTCGGCTTGCAGTGGTCAGCCACAGAGCTGGATTAGGCAGCGTGCAGAGGGTGTGTGCATGTTGGAGACTGAAGAGCCCAGTCCCAGGTCTGGAGCTCACTGCAGTGTCCATGCAAGCCCATATCAGGGGGCTGATGGGTCTGCGATGGAATGCTGAAGAATCTACAGCAAAGGCTGGAGAGTTTACACCAGAAGGCTGAAGAGTCCCAGGCAGACTCCGCAACAGTCTGCACTAGAAGCCAGGAGATGACCAAGCTGAAGGTGAAGACTGGAGCTCCTTCAAAGAACCAGCACCCAGTCCTTCTTCATTTCCCTTTTTTTTTTAATGCAGCCTACCTGCCCTGGGGGGTGCTGATCCTCTACACCCACAACCTGTGCATACCTTCCTCTTGCACAGGCTCAGGATGAATACAAAGTAAGCACCGTGGCTCTCTGCTGAGTCACATAGTTAACCTTCTAAACTTCGCAAATTGACACAATGAACAACATTCCAGAAGGGTAAGGGCATGTCCTTGTCACCCCAAGATGCAGAACTGCGGAGTCACTTAGCCAAACCTCTAGACTCCCCACGTTGACACAATGTATCAACCATAATAACTTCGTTTTTCCAAGTAATAAAAAACCTAAGAAAGAGAGTAGAAATAATCTTGATAAAATCTTTATTTCCTAGGCCAGTTCTTATTTATACATTTTACTAACAGCAGATCAGCATCTTAAGAAAATCTTATTACTTTAAGCATAGGAGTTAGATTCTAGTTTTAGATGAGTGAATCAAGGTTTGATTTTTAGAAAACTCTAAATAAGTTGAATTGTTACAATTTAACCACTATAAATTTATTTTCATAAGTTTTATTTTCCAGGAACCTTATGCAATTTACTCAGACTGTTTTTTTATTTGCCTAAGGTTTGTGGTTATGCATTTACCTTTCCTTTTCCTCAGTAAATCAGTCCAGTCATTTCACTTTAGAACATAATCTTATTTTACCATGGAAAATCCTTCTTTACTCCTCCTGCTTATAACTCACCCTCCTCCTCTCCCTCTCCCCTACTCCCTCCTCTTGTAGTGTTCTTGCTATTGTAAGCTTAGCAGCCTGTTCCTGGCAGCACTCCACCCTATCAGTGTTCAGATGGCAACTTTTCAGTCAGGACCAGCCACCCTGCCCAGCACTGGCACTTTAACAGGTTTGTCCCAGTGGCTTTCATCCTGCAGTGGCCCAGCATGGGCTTTGGCTTGGAGTCAGCCTCTGCAGTTGCTTGCACTGCCATGAAAAGTGTCACCTCCCAGAAACTCTGATCTTATGCAAGTCTTTCTTTTTAAATTTTTTTTATTTTAAAGAGAAAAAAACTAATAAAACAACACCAATGACAACAAAAACAAAAACAACACAAAAATGAAAATGATACATGACCTCAAAACAAAATGATAGGAATTAACAATGGTTGTCACACTACATACTGTTATCTTCAGTGAAGTTGCTCAGTCCACCAGATGTAAGAATGTAAGATTGATCAAACAAAAACAAGTAATAAAAAAAAATTGGAAATGATACAGAACTTCACCATACAAGATGGTCGGAGTTCAACAATGGTTCTTATACTGCATATTGTTGACTTCAGATCAGTAATTCTGATTACCAGATACAAGCGTGCAAAATTGGTGAAGAAAAAGAAAATTTTAAGCATTAATTGTTCCTTTCACTAAACCACAGACATCAGCAATACACCTACCCCAGTTATCCATGTACATATATGTAAAGTTTGTTTTTCATTTTAAAGAGTAAAGAAAAAAAATCAAAATAACAAAAACAAACACATAAACCAGCATAGAAAACAATAAAAAATGATACAGAGTTTCAAAACAAGGTGATAGGATATTAACAATAGTTGTTATATTACATATTGTTGTCTTCAAAGTGGTTGCACAGATAACCAGATATAGGCATGTAAGACTGATTAAACAATTACACATTAACTGTTCCTTTTAATATTTGTTTTTCTTTAAACCTTATTGGTTTAACATCTAAGCCTTCACAAATGAGAGTATTTCACTTAATCATTAGTCCATTTGGAAGGCATTCCCAGGCCCACACAGTGGTCTTCACTAATCCATAATATGCATCACTCTTTGGCACATAGAAAGAATTGATCAGACTTTTTCCTTTGCAAGTAAAATGTCCTTATTCACATAGACGTTGCCAGGCTGTGCGCATCGCAGCAGGTAATCGTCTTTGTGGATGATGTGGCCACAAGCCCATGAGTGCTGAGAGGACTCATGGAGCAGAATGAGTGAGTGAAGGAGTGAGCAAAGGCAGCCTGTGCTCGTCAGCTCTGAGGTTCACCAACATCACACGGGTGCAAAGGGGTCACACATGAGCACATGCAAACTGCATGGACCTGAAAGAACAGGGCCTCTCTGCTGTGGTCCCAGGCCTTGGGGTGCTCTTTACAGAGCACAGGCAGAGTGATGCCTTGTAATTCTTAAGAGCTGTTGGATGTTCAGCGTGGTGAAGAGCACAGATTCATCTTAAAGTCAGCAGCTATGTTAAGCCCTTAACAAGAAAGCCTTCCTTTGAAGCCATGGAGCCAGGCATTGACTTCCTTTCTCTTGCTTCAAAAATCCTACATGGCCTCTTCTAATAGAAGGCCATTTCATCTACATTGACACTTTGCTGTTTATTTTAGCCATCTTCATGCAGCTAGGTCTTCTAGGCAACTTTCTTCATTTCCCATTTTTACGGTCCAGGGGCTCTTCTTTCACCTGCTGCTGATTCTGGCTGATGCTACCCTGCCCAGCCAGGTCTGAGCGGCTGCTGGCTGAGAGTCACCTCCTCCTCTACCGAGGCCATCTGTCTAGGTCACTTTCTCATCACTGGGACACAATATTGGACACCCACAACTTAAAGGGGGAGAGTTTGTCTTGCCTCATGTTGCAGTCCGTTGTTGGAGGGCTACACTGCGGAAGGGCACGGTGGAGGAAAAGCTGCACATATCGTGGTGCTGGGGAGACAGAGAGCCAAGCGAGGAGCCAGGAAAGGAGACACATGCTTTGAGGCCATGCCCACAGGGACCCGGCTCCTCTGCCCAGACCCTACCTCCTTACACCAACTCAGCTATAAACCCTGGCGATCCACTTACATTTTGAACATCAGGCTTTGGAGGCCATTTTAGATCTGAACCATAACATCCCCCCCCACACCCCAAAAGACTCACATATATCTCTTTATGCAGTTTGCATTTAGTCCATCTCTAAGAGTGGCCAAGACTGTAACAGTTCCAGCACTCCAATGTGTCCTCTGAAAGCAAAGCAAACTCTCAGCTGTGAGCCCCTGTCAAAACAAAAAAAGAAAGTTAAGCACTGCTGACATAGTGGCACCTGATAAACATTCCCATTCCAAAAGGCAAGAATGGAGGATTGAATCTGATGGCCTCTTCGTCAAAAGCAGCAAAAGCAAGTCTGAAACCCAGCCCAGCAAACACTAAATCCCATAATTCTATGACCAGCACCCAGGGAAAGTTGCAGCCATGAGATGTGGACACTACAGGGCTTGGGTGGCCCTGAGCCCTGGCTCCTTGCTCCTGGGACAGTGAGCCCCTCCCCTAGACCTGCCCCTGACTGCATCCTCTGCTTGCTCTGCATCCTGGTCCAGGAGGAACCTCGCATCGTCTCAGGTCCCAGGAAACCTCTGGCCAGTGTCCAGTGTCCTCACCTCTGTCCCCAGTCCCGCTTCTCCTTCCAGCAGAGCTGCCATGATTCCCTGATCTGAGGTGTTGTCACCCATCCCCCAATTCCTGCCCTGAAGCTGGGGCTCAGCCACTACCACACAGGGCTCAAGGGCTAGAAATGGGGACAGTCTATGTGGACACCTGCCCTGCAGGTCACAAACAGCCAGACTGCAAAGACCACACACACACACACACACACACACACACACACGCAGTATAAAGCGCCTCATTAAGAATTGTCCCGTGTCATGAAATAACATTTGGTGTAAAGGTTAAATAGACATTTTATTAAAATGATCACACTTGTTCTTTTTACTTTCCTGATATGTCTACCCGGAAAACCCACAGGGGTCGGTGTCCCAGCTCTGTGGGGGCCCTACCAGCTGTCCCCTCCAGAATCAGCCACCTGTGCCCGTTTCTGGCCTGAACCATCTGGCTGGGAGTAATTCTTGGGAGATCTATTGATTGACTGACTGGTCACGAGTCCTTAAGGAGAACTCCTGTCCTTTCCCAAGTAAAGGGGAGTTACTACTGTTTGGTAGAGGAGTTCCCCTGGACAGGGCAGGGCCTGGGCTTCCTGGAACCTCTGGAATAGTGTTCCTGCTCTGGGAATTCCCCAAGCTTCATGCAGGGCTCAAGAAGGCCCTGACCTCAGGGGCTTGCACGAAGCTGAGAGTATTCTTTTCCCATTTCTGTGTGTGCAGAGTTGAGTGGTCACAGGTCTTTCACCTTCCAGAGTTTGGTGCCCTCATACAGACAAGCAGGGCAGGGTTAGGAGCAGCAGGGGCAGTGGAGGAGGAAGGAGAGGAGAGCAGGAGGGAGGAGAAGGAAGCTGGGGGGTGGCAGGAAGAGGAGAATGGGGCAGGGCAGGGCAGAGCAGGATTGTCATCCCTCTGGGATAAGAGGAGGGCCCAGAACAGGCAGCACTCTTGTCCTCTGCTCCCTGCAGCTCCACATCCAGCAGACATGGCCCGGGCCCTGCTCCTGTTGTCTTGCTTGGCTGTGGCCCTGGCTCTGAGCCATGGGGCCAGCTTTAGACCCCAGCAAGAGACAGCAGGGGGCTTTGTGCAGAAGGCAGATGTCAGTGAGGAGGGTGTGCAGCAGATGGTGGCCTTCGCCCTCAGTGTCTACAATGCAGCCAACAATGACCAGCATCTCAGCCGCACGGTGCAGGTGGTCAGCGCCCAACATCAGGTGAGTGTCCTCTGGGGCTCAAGTGATGGATGGGCTTGCCCTGGGGGTCTTGTGTCTAAGCAAACCTCTGGCCACTGCCCTCCAGGTGCCCCTCAAACTGCACTCTGCAGACCGACCCCAACTCCCACTCAGCAGGGATCCCTGCTCCCACCACCCCAGCCCCTTGCAGCTGTCTCTGGAGCATCTCATCTGCAGCAGGGTCTGGGTCCAGGCAGGGTGGGTGGTTCCTGTCCTTAGACACTGTTCCAGTCCCAGCTGGCAGAGGCACCAGGTGCTAGGACAGGGTCAGGGTCCCCCGGTTTAGTGCGGATCACCACCTCCTGGACTAGGATCCATGTGAACTGTGAACCAGTGACCACACAGCAGGGACAAGGACCCCATGCTGGTTCTCTCTTCTCTCGACCTCCACACTCCTGCCCTTCAGCTCCAGGCTCTGACACAACCTCAGATCTGCAGAGCAGGATCAGCAAGAGCAGCAGGAGCAGAGGGTGTGCTGGGCCCTGTGCTCGTCCCTCCCGTGGCCACTTGGGCCCTGCTTCTGTCTCCCCACAGCACATGGAGCTATGTGTGGTTTGGGAGGATTCTCCTGATCACAGGGATGCACCCTGCAGTGGACACTGCTTGTCCACGAGGACCTGCTCTCCACACCTGGGACCAGGCTGACCTCAGGAAGCCACACTCACACTCAGTCACCCACAGAGCCTCACACGGTGTGGCCAGTGTCTACTGAGAACACTGTCGTGCCCTGCCTGAGAACACTGTCGTGCCCAGCCTGTCCTGACTCAGCCTCCTCTCCCCTGGAGCAGCTGCTCTGTGCTTGGGATCTTGGCCTGTTGGGGTCCACCCAGCTGGGGGCACAGTCTTGATCCATCCTGGGGGCTCCGGGTAAGGTTGGATCCTGAGGAGGTGTGTGTGCCGGGATCCAGTGCACCCAGAGCTGGGCACAGAGCCTGCACTGAGGGCTGGACCCTCCCTGCCTCTTGGACAGCCCAGCTGGTCCCCACAGCAGCCTCCCATCCTGCAGTACATTAGCACGTCCAGTCCTTGAAACTGCCTGCTCTTTCCCTGTTCCTGCTCTCACTCTGCAGAAGACTTCTTGGAGTTTGGCAGGAAACAAGTTGCAAACAGGTCCCACGTCCGCCCCTCAGGAGGGAATGGCTTGCCTCCCGCAGGGGTGGACTTGGCCCCTCATGAGCACAGGCTGAGACCTGGGAAACACAGTGACCCTAACACAGCAGGCAGCTGCCCTGTGTGAGGGCGATGGGTTTCTAAGTGGCCCCTCCTCTTCCTACCCTAGGTCACAGCCGGAACGAACTATTACTTGAGCATGGAGATTGGCAGAACCACATGTGCCAAGTCCCAGTCCAACCGGGCCAGCTGTCCCTTCCAACAGCAAGATCTGCTGAAGGTCTGGGTCTGAGGTGTCCCGGGCCAATCGCACATGTAGTAGGCGTTGTGAGCGTGTGTTCCTGTGTGACTATGAGGTGCATGAGTGTGTTACGGAGGGTGTGTGCACCATTTGGGTCACACAGGGAGGAGCGTGAATGTGAATATATGAGTGTATACATCTGTGTGCATGTTTGGTAGCAGAGCAGGGTTGTGCATATAAGATTGATTGTGATGCTGAATGGGACCCTCAGAAGTGGGGTGCTTGGAGATGATCCCTGCCTTTGGGGCGCTCCTGTTGGGTGGTGAGGAGGGAGAGGGCTCCAGGAGACCCAGCCTCACCCCATCCAGAGCCAGGCTGAGCAGGTCAGGCCTGAGAGTTCCAAGACCCCACGCTACCCTCAGCCTCAGCCTCTCCTGAAAGCTGGGCCCCTGGAGGCCGCGCTCCGGCACTGAGTCCCTGTCACCCTGCCCACCCAGCTTGTCTCCCACTTCCCAGGCCTAGTTCTCCCCTGGGTGCCTCTCAGTGCTGCTCTGAGCTGAGGCAAGGTGCTGGGACAGTCACTGCCACAGTGCAAGCAGACCTGCCCTGCCTGCAGCCCCTGGGCTCCTGGCCTTGCCTGGCTGCTCCTTGGGGGCTGTGGGGAACAAGGACCTGGGATCCCTGACTTGGGGACAGTGCCCTGTGGAGACTTCCCCTCCACCAGTCCTTCTTCTCTGTGATGTCCATGGCCGGGCATCCTCCCTCTCTCCTGAAGCCGCACTCACCACCCCTCTCTCTTCCTTTGGCAGAATCAACGCTGCAACTTCGTGATCTATAACAGGCCTTGGGAGAACTACATCTCTGTGACCAGTTTTAGCTGTCATGATGCCTGAGCTTCTGCTTTAGGCCAGGCCATGCTGAGTGTCCCTTACCCCCTCCCTCTCTGTCAGGGTCCCCAACTCCTTGGTGCCCTAGCACTGCTGGTCTTCTCCGGGCAGCACGGACACACACAAGCTTTCCCCTCTCCCTTTCTTCTTGATCTCAGCCACACCTGTGCATGGGTCCTACGGCTGCCCCTGCCTTGATCAATAAAAACCTGCACCAGCTCTTCCTGGGTCCTGTGGTCTTGGGATGCAGGGGAAGATTTGGGGGCAAACAGGGGCTGGACCCACTCAGTCACTCCTGTAGGTCAGGGTAGAGCCACCCTTTTGGAATCCCTGGATCTTAGGGAGACAAAGAGCAGATGGAAGGGGACACAGCCACCCAGTACGGTGGCTCCTGGACATGGACAGGGCAGCAGGGATCCAGGCTGCTGGCCTGCTACTGGCTGTGCCTTGCAACAGAAGTCAGGCTGCACACAGGGACAGTCACAGGGCACAGCTCGGTGGCCTCACCCTTGGGTGCAGAGCTGATGCTTGCAGGGCCGCCTCCCCCTGCTCACCTTACCTGAAGACAAAAAGAACAGAGCTTCCAGTCCACGTCGCCCGTGGAGGATCTGGGCCCCTTGTGAGACAGAGGGAAAGTGCATCTGTGTGCGGAGCTGGTGGGGAAAGCACCAGCCAGGACCCGAGAAGGAGAAGCTGGGTCAGAGGATGGGCAGCACCTTCACACCCGGGCAGGTGCATCTGGCTTCCGCCCATGGGTGCCCAGAGCTGGCGTGTGAAGGTCAGCTGGATCCTCTTCCCCCACCCAGGGGTACAGCGTTCAGAGCAGAAAAGGGCTGCCCTGCGCTGGGCTTGCTTGTCATTGCAGGAGGTTGAGTTCATAAGGTCGCTTGGTGGCACCATGGGTGCACAGAACAGGGACACTGAGTCCTAAACCTTGTGCTCTGTGACCCGTCCCTCCCTGCTCTCCTGGGTGCCCAGGGCAGAGGAGGAAGTCCTGCTGTCCCGGCCCCTGGAGTCCAGGTCTCAATGCCCTCCACACTCAGCACATTGGGAAGTGTTGATGGCCACTGTCAGGGATGCTAAGGATGAGCGACAAAGGCCAGCACACTGCGGGCTTCAGGGTGCAAAGTCCAAGCCTACATGGAGGCGGAGCACCTGCAAGTGGCTACGTCCTCTCTGACCTGCCTCCAAACTTTTGCCCCGGTGTTACCAACATCAGTCCTTGGTGAGGGAGAGAAGTGCCCGGTGTCTGCTCCCAGGGTTGCAGTCCAGAGAGACCCTCTGGTTAGAGGACTCCATGACCAGGCCTCTGACAGCACAGGGTGGTGGACAGAGCAACAGTTGAAGCAGTGGTGGTTCTCACTCAGTGTCCCTGTAACAGGGGCTTGCAGTTTATGCAAGAAGAACTCAAGTGACCTTATGAGAAGAACTCAAGTGACCCCCAATGAAGAACTCAAGTGACCTTAGTCACCATCTAGGTCTCTTCCTTGGGATATTGGGGATGGTGGTGAGTGTGCCGAGTCCCTCTGCCCCCCGTGTCTGTCCCTTCTTCCCTCAGTCTAGGGCCTCAGCCACAACCCCCAGGGTGCAGGTTGATCCTTGAGGAACCAGGACCCTGGGCTCTGAGTGAGCTGAAGAGTCACTAGTCACTCAGACCTGGGGTCACTGCAACCCACACACCCCAGAGGGAATCCCAGAGCTCCTGTTACCTTACAAATGTTAATCATTTCACATGTCTGTATGTTATGCAAGGTTTCCACATAAAGAGCTGGAGTGTTGTGTGTGACACGGGTTGAGTCCTTGGAACAGTTAGACCTCTCTCCAGGGACAGAATTCCACATCAAAGTGGTTCACACATTGCCCTGAACCTCCCAATCAACACTGGGATGGGGCTATGTCCCCACCTCCTGACCTGGGGAGCTATGAGGTGGTGACTCCAGGCAGTCAGGGAGGTCACCACCACCATATCATCTCCTGGGCCCTCATCCTGGGGATCCCAGGTCCCTGTGAGTGTCCAGCTCCCCAAAGCCACTGTGCCCAACAGGCTTCCTGATGGTGCTTTGGGTGCAGCTCTAACCAAGCTCCAAGCCAAAGCCAGCACTACATACTGCCTACTGAGTGGACCCTGGGGGTAGAGGTGTCCTGTCCACCTGGATGCCCAGGAGACTCAGCTCCAGCCATCCTGGCTGTACCATGTAGAGTCTCCAAGCAGGACCTGCCTGCTGGACCTTCCTGAGGCCAGCCCAGCCCTGTGAGCAGGTTGATGTGTTAGCCACCAAGCAAGAAGGGTCAGGTGGCCGTGACAAACAGACACCCAGGACCTGCTGCTGGGTGTGAGTGTGCATGTCCTGCAGGACTCCAAGAACAGACTCATCAAGGAGCACGTGGCATCTGGTCAGTGGGCACTGCAGGCCCCCAGTCCTTCTGGGTGTCCTCCAGAACAGCAGGGAGCAGGAATGACCCAGGATGGGTGGAATGCTGCACTGACCACGATGCCCAGCAGAGAGCAGCACGCGCCTGCTCAGGAGCTACAGGCCTGGCCTCTAGTGCAGCCCACTCGGCTGCTAGGCTGGGCCCTGCAGGGATCAACTCTGCCTGCAGGAGGAGCTGTGCGCCCGGAATACCCGGCTCTGTCCCTGCTTCGGGAAGCCGTCTCCTTGGCCCTGTCCTGCAGCCTTTGGCCCAGGAAACACCGGTCATCAGGGAGAGGAGCAAGCGCCAGCAGAGGGCAGCAGCGTCCTGTACCGCAGCTCCTCCCTGCTCCTGCTAGGAGCTGCGCCTACTGGGAGGAGCAGCGGAGCCTGAAGGGGACCCATGGGGACACAGGGACTTCCTTGAAGCAGGTGACAGTGACCCCGTGGAACCCGAGGACAGGTCTGGCTTCTGTTCTCTCCCACGGGTCCCCCCTCCTCCTCTTTCTCTGCTCTGTTTCTCCTCTCCCTTTTCCAGCCAGCTTCCTCCCACTTCCCGTCATGGCTGCAGGACAGAGGCAGTGTCAGGGGACTCCGCTTCCTCCTTCCATCGGTGAGTTCCATCACGTGTCCCTCCAACTGAGGTCACTGCAGGTGAGCACCCTCCCTGTCCCCAGTTCCTGGGCGTCCTCCCCTCTGGTCCCAGCCCTTCTGATCAGAGTTATGCTGGTGGACGGAGGATCCATTGTTTTTTATTTCCAGGGCTCGCTTACTTCCCCTTCTGGTTTGCTTGTGTCTTATTTTAGAAGATTTCGTTAATGTCTGATGACCATGGTCTCATTTCAAAGAGGAGGTGGACAGTGGTCAGGAGCCCTGGTCATGAATAAACCCTGTGGACCATGGGCTCACTGTGACAAGACCTGGGCATGCAGTTCTGCTGTGACCCCTGCACCTTGGTATCTTTAGCTAAGCATCTGCACGGCTTCCCGTTGCCGCTCAGTGGTTTAGGGAAACATCTTCAGCGTTTTACCTAGAAAGGAGGCCTGGCCGCTGGATAGGGTAGGGAGGGCTGGAGGTCCTATGTCCAACTCACTTGGCCTGGCTGTGTTTACACATTCACATATCTCCTGCCTTGCAGAAAGCTAGAGCTCTCAGTGTCCAGGCAAGATCTGTGGCTTAGCAGCTTCTGGTTCAACTTCTTGTCTACCAGGCCTTGCATTATGTTCTTTATCCCCTCACTCCAGAAGTTGAAATGTACGTTGCAAGCCCTGCAGTTTTACTACCTCCTCAGTATGATCCAGACTAGGTGTGTGTTTCCCGTCTTTCATTTCAATGCAGAAAGTGGTTTCATTTCTTATACATATAGCATGCGATTCTAGCAGAGCTTGGTGTCGTGTCTCAGGGCAGTGGGCCTGGCTGGTCCTGGCTGGCCTCACAGGGCATGCTGGCCTTGCTTCTGCTGCTGGGTGGGTCTGGACCTACCTCTGTCTTTCTTCCTCCATGGACCAGAGGCTGCGTGGCTGTGTTCTGGGGCGACAGTGGAATGTGAAAGTCTCTCCCAGCCTTCCCATGTACATCTGTATTTACACACTTACTGTCGGCCAAACCACCATGTGTGGGAAGGGGAGAGAGATCACATCTCTGCTGGGAGCTCTGCAATATCGCAACAAACTGCAGAATACCAGGAGGGCGTTGTCCAGACCATGGCCCAGCCTGCTGTGGATGACCACACCACATGGGCTTTCCCACCTCTGAGGGCTTCCTGCTGTCCCCTAGAGCAGGACCCGAGGGATGGGTCCTCACTGTCCTTGTTGTCTTGCTCAGTTCACAGTAGCTAATAATGCTTTACGTGAATAAAGCATTTACTGACCAAGCAACCTTGGGAAGTGGGCTTGTTTAGCAAATTCAAATGTCTTTTATTCCTGTAGATTACTGAGAGCTTTTAATCTCTTGGGGAGATACTCCCTAGGGGGCCTGCTCAGGGTTCACTGTTTCTCACCATTTGATGTGAGTTCCTTGTGTGCATATCGCTATGAAGCCCCTCGGGACACAGGGCAGTGGGCGGGCGTTGAAAGCCATTAGTGTGGTGTCAAAGAGCCTTATCTTAGCATCTCTCCTGCAGCTGTCACCGCACACCCCAGGCTGGGCCATGCATGAGCACAGACATTTATTTCTCCTGGTCCTCGAAGCTGGGCAGTCTGATATCACAGCGCCTGCTGAGAGGCTTGGTGCTGCATCATTCCAGGGAGGAAGAGCAAAGGAATGGAGGGGACGAGAAGGCGGGGATGAGGTACTTGTCCCTGTGTGAGGAGCCCAGCCTAGACAGTGGCATAGCCCACTCCACACTCCGAACCTCACCACTCACCACTCTCAGGGTCCCAGCTCAACACCGTTGCACGGGGGACTGAGCTTCTGACCTAAGCTCCAAGGCACTCACTCACACTGCAACACCTGGACCCACCCGCCTGCATCCCTGCCTCTGCCTGTGCCAAGCCTGCTGCGTGGGTTCCCACTGCCAGGGCAACATTCTGTGCTTCCTCGCCCTGATCTTCTAACTGGTGCCTTTCTGCCACCTTCTCTGACCTGCTGGATGCCTGCCCACCTCCTCTGTCATGGACAGTGGTGACTAAGGGTCCAGAAAGACCCCTGAGGAGGAATGATGAAACAGGTGCCTGGGGGAAGGCAGGCGGGCAGGGTCTAGGGGTCTCAGTGCTCACCTCCGAGCCCGGCTCCTTCTGCACACGATGCAGGCAAAGGGCACTGATGGGAGGCTGAGGTTTTGCTGCCCCTTCACCCCCATCCTTGCAAACCCTGCCTTTCCTAGAATGTGGAGCAAGGGCATCTGGGCCTGGTGCCCTGAGGATCCTGTGCCCTGTTGCTGTTTGAAGACTGTGGCCTCTGCATTCTAAAACAAGGAGCTGAGATGGAACTGCTCGGTCCTCGATGTGAAGTTAGAAGCCAGAGCCCCCACCCATTTAGGACCGAGGGTTGCAGATTGACACTCGTGGGAATTGGAACTTGTCTCCAGGGGAGAAATCACTGAACGATTTGAGTTTCTTGCTGTGCTGCGTTTCCAAGTGAATGCTTGCATTTTGAAGCTGCAGCTGGTGGCCTCCTTGCCACACCATGCCAGTGGCGGGTGGCCTGGACACAGACAGGCACCTCACGGAAGCTGCCCTGGCTCCAGGTTGTCCTCCAAACCAGAAGTGAGACCACAGCCTCCCAGCATCCGACTCCTCCCTTCTCTAATCCACACTCCCCAGTGCTCACACATTCAATATTTTGCTTCTCTGCTTATAACTTGTATAAAGCGGGAATCCATGAGCCAAGTGTGGCTTCCAAGCTCCACGTGTGCCTGACACGCTGCCCCCAGCCTGATGCCTCCCACACTGATTCTCCAGAACTGTGTCTCCAAGTGCTTTGAGCAACCTGTGCCCTCACAGCTCCTCTGTGGTCCTCTGTCTGGAACCCTGCCTCCTGACCCTCCCTACCCAACACCTCCCTTGAGTCCCAATGCAGGTAAGGCCACCTGCAGGAGTCCCTTTCACTTCCCACTCTGCATCCCTCCTTCCGGGGGTGGGGGCCTCCTCTGTGGTCCCCGGGTCTCAGCACCCTGCAGCCCTGTGATTGCTGCCTGCAGCTTCTGGGGTACCCAGCTCATGCCGGGTGCCATCAGGCATAATTTCCTGAAATAGGGTAGTAACTGGTGGCCAGACATGGGACAAAATCCAACTTGTGTCCAAAGTTTATTTTGCATCATTTCTACATTATTTTAATCCTTTTTCCTTCTTTTTGTGGTGCTGAGCATTGAGCCCAGTATCTTTGGTTTTTTCCTCCCACCCCCTGTCCCTTCTCCCCTTGGGTGATAAGTGTGACACAGGCCTCCCTGGCATCTGGGAAGGGGAAGTCCAGTTAGGGAAGTCTTTGCCTTAGGCCAGTGCTGCAGATTCCCACAGGTCTCTGTCACTTTGGGGATCCCAGGAAAGGAAAGGCTTCAAGACACAGCAGTGCATCCACCCAGGTTTTGACACAGAGGATCATGACAGAGGTTGCGTCTTGGCCACCACATGTCCCAGAGCTCACTCTGGAAGCTTCTGTCAGTGGGGAGGGAAGGAGGCTTGCAATGCCTGGAGCCCGAGGCTGGTCTGCTGGAAACCATTCCTGTCATGGTGCTCAAGTGTGGATGTGAACTTTGCCTCACATCTGGGTGCTGAAGGCTTGATCCCCAGCCCAGGGTGCTAAGGAGGTGCTGGGATGATCAGGAGGTGAAGCCTGAAGGGAAGTCAAGTATTGAGGTGCATCCTTGGAGGGGACACTGGGACATCTACCTCTCTCTGTGCCTCCCAGCTGCCATGAGGGGAGCAGCCTCCCCTTCCAGCCTGGCACCATGATAAGCAGCCTCAGTCCAGCCCCAGAGCAGCAGTCTAGCCCCAGAGAGCCTAGTTCCTGAGGCTGCTGAAACCATCAACTTCTCCTCCACCCAGGTACTTCAAATATTTTGTCCCAATAAAGGAAAGCTGGCCGGCACAACAAAGATAAAATATTAGGAGTGGAGAGTTTGATTCATTTTGATATCTGACCTGAAGCAAAAGTGCTCATCATCATGGTACATGTGACAATGTGTGCACAGTGCATGCATGAGTCTTTAGTTTTGATAGAATTGGATGAAATGGAGCTTCCTGACCTCCCTCATTTGCAGGGCACACAGCTGCATTGCATAAGCACCAGGAGCAAGGAAGGGTGTGTGTGTGTGTGTGTGTGTACAGTGGCATAAATCCCTCACATGGGACCTGCCATCTCACACCTCATCTCATCCTGACAGAGCTGGCAATGCCAGAGAAGACAGGGTGAGGTCATGGCTTGGGTGGTGACACAACCTGAAGAAACACTTGTTTCACGGGAGCTCCTTCTGCAGGTTCCACGAGCTCCTCAGTGCAGTGCGCGTTCCATGGCCACAAGGGCTTGGAAGCTCAGTGCTAGGTGACTGTTCAGTGAGCGCTGTCCATTCAGTCTTAAACTCATCAATCTCAAATCAAGAAAACCGAGGAACCTCCGAGTGCTCCTGAATGGGAGAAAACTGAGGGGGACTCTTCCAGATTTGAAACAACCTGGAAAACTCACACAGCCGTACTTATGTAGAGTTGAGAAAGCAGAAAAAAGATGTTCCACAAAACTGCTTGCATGTTTGGAAGATTGGCCCACCCATCTTTTGTATTTACAGGAAGTGATGGTGTGGAGTCAATATCACCGGACAATGCAAATGATGGTACATTAGCTGGATATGAAAATAGAGGAGGAAGTTACTACAAGGTCGTGCCAGGTTACTGATTAGTAAAACTACTGTGTGAGTAAGTGAAAGTCAGGTGGAATGAGGAAGGAGAAACCTGCCCTCCCACTGGTAGGGCAGGCACGAAAGGGCAGAAGAGGACATGGCCCATCACCAACCGGAAACAGTGCTTCCAC